TAAAATGTATAAGCTTGTAACCTACCCATATCCTTACTGCAGTGTTCGGTGCTGTGAGGGATCTATTTTGTGTCGATGTTGCAATAAAAGTAAAAAAGTTTTCACACTATATATATATAAAAGGTGTATTTTAATTACAATCATCTTTTGTATTGTTAGGAATAGCGCAAGTAAAACATAATAGTCAAAATGATATTAATTTGATATTCTTTTGGCAGATACTTGACATAAATTTGTTCAATATTTGGTCAAAATGACGTCAAATTGATATCATTTTGATTCTTATGCCTTACTTGGAAGGCTATAATGCAATAGAGGTCGTACTGAAATTTAATAAAAAACTAAACGTGAAAATCTATTGCGTATCCATAGTAAATGTACTATGGACGTCTATGATAGATGTTATATGGATATCCATCATCGATGAATTGTGGACGTCCATTAGAGATCCACTTCGTACATTATGGAGATATATATCTGGTAGAGCTATGGATGATCTATGGACGTCTAATGGAGGTTTTATTTTGTTGGGTTGTTTCCCTTCTTCAAAAAATATTGCAAAATAGAGTACAGTGATTTTATGATTGTAGCAAATTTGTATAAAAAACTTATTATTATTGAAACAGATTGTGATGATATACATTCGTATAACAGCATAAATTATGCTATTGAAAAAATAACCTATTAACCTTGAAAACAATAAAAAATACAATTCTATTGCATATTATAATAAATAAGAAGATATTGTAATAAATGTAACAAAGTTGTACATAACATATACAAAATAAATAGTAGTATAATGTAATAAATATAACAATATAAGTGCAAGTATTTTGCAAAACGTAACTTAAAACTTATTAAAACAATATTCCAATCAATATAACTATGCTATATGTAAAATAACATGTTACATGTATAAAATAACATGTAAAAAATAAAATGTTACAGTATTTATCGGAATATCAATAACGACAGAAAAATAAACATAAATAATCCAAATTATTCATTATTACCCACCTATTAAAGTAACATAAGTGAAATGTACAAGTTATCATAGTTTATAAACATATATTACTTACTATTACCTACTTAAGAACTTATTTAATTATTATAAATCAGTTAATACTCCAATGAGTAAAAGTTTTGGTAATTATTTATATATCACCAAATATTGCAAAAACATTTGCATTGCACATAGTTTCATTATTTCATATTAATTGTTGATGCATTGCGTTTGCGGTTGTTTATTGAATTGAAATTATCAACTAAGAGTCTTGATCCCATGCTCTTGCTGTCAAATACAGATGTGTTACTTTTATTGGTAGGCATGCTGCTTAGTTCTGACGATATCTGACACAATCTCATACTGCAATATCTAGAAATTAAAATATCTTTCCTGTCAAGTACTAATCACAAATGTACTCAATTCTTTTTATAAATGGTGTTCTAATTTTTCTTTCAATATTTGTCCTACATCTTTAATTTTATTCTTTACATCTCTTATAATTAATTCTGCAGCTTTTAAGAGTTGAAATACTTCATTTGAAACTGAAACAAGAGCTCCTTCCAAAAATTCACAAGCTTTCAAAAAGCCGCTTCTATGATGCAAAAATAAATCTGAATGCAATAATTTTGAATAACAATTAGTACTTTATTCGCTGCTTAAGCTTGAATATACACAATATAGCCACACATTTTGTATAAGATCTTTTCTTTTTCGTCCGTTAAAAATTCCATTATAGTAGCATTATGTAGTTGTGAAAATAAATTAGATGGTAGTGTCAATTTCCTTTGGTTTTTTATTTCTTGATAGGGCGAAGGACCATTATCCTTGGTTTTTATTTCTTGACATAAGGTCAATCAATGTTAACGATCCATCATAATTGTAGCTAGAGTTACTTATCAACACAGCTTTATGTGATAAGGCTAATTGCTTCAGACGGTTTTTACATTCTAGAACAGAAGGCTTTAGCCGTTGTATATGGATGTTAGAAAATTCATTTTCAATGCAATCCTGGCTAAAACGAGCTAAACACAAGAAATCCAATGATTCTGTTTAAAGTAACATCTCTTGAATTTCTAATATACATTCTAAACACATAATTATGTATGTAAGAGTGACTCTCCAAATCCCTTTAATTGTTGCATTTCTAAAGATAGAAATAAATAATAATAAGCGAATAATATCTATTGATGTACGATACTAGCCAATATTATGAAAACTTAATGCAAATCTGTCGCGTGAAGTCATTATTTTAAATAAATGTCTTAACCTCTTGACCTACACGCTATCTCCCGATTGCTCGGGCCATAGTCTCGGCCAGGCTCGTCTTGTTTACATTTGGTCCGAACGAAATACCACGAGTCAGACTCGTGCTTATTGTTTATGGACCAAATTCCTTACCACGAGTCTCACTCGTGGTTGTAGGCCAAAAGGTTAACATTATAATAACAAAGCTTGTTTCCATTACAGAATCATTAGTAGTCTCACTGAGTCGAAAAAGAGCTTCTGCAGTTTGAGGGCTAATAACGTTGGTAGCTGTGTTCATCTTCATTTTACTGAAGTGATTAGAGGATTAAAATTTTTTTTCTTCAATTTCGGGTTAAATTAAATATTGTAGAATCATATCAGATTATTTATTTTCAAGAAACTCTACATATCTCATATCTACTGTTTGTGATTTTAAACAATATTTATTAATAACATCTTCAGGTAATATAATAACATTTACTTTCATTAACATTTCTTTTAAATTTTTAAACGTATGAATAAAATCTGGAATGGCATACTGTTATGTCACGTCATGAAGAAAACGTAACAGATTATTATACTGGTATGCGCGATATGTCACGGGTGAAGCAATAAGAAATTCGAATGCTCAAGGAACACCACTATATTTTAAACAAGAATCACGGACGAACACACTCGCGATACGCACTGAAGAAGATCGGTGAATGCCCAGAGGATGATGACAGAAGGCCAAACAGAAAATTAGGAACTAGTTGACGGGGAGGCGGCGGTCAAGCCGCAGGAAGACAGGAAAGCGTCGACGAAGGAGGCAGCGAGCAGCCGCGCAGGAAACAGGTGATCGTCAACGAAGGTTGGCGGCGAAGGCCGCGCAAGAACCAGGAACTCGTCGACGGGGAGGCGGCGGGAAAAAGGAAGTGAAATGCTTCTCCTTTCCGAGAAGCTCTAGAGCACACGAGCCATAAGGCTGCAATCAACCGCACAACACTTCACCTCAAAGAAAAAACTTAGACTAATTCTCGCTGGCATGCGTCGAACAAAAAACAAACAAAAAAAAAACAGTTTTTCAATGTTTGGTCGCCTAGTTGCATGAACTCGTAAGTAGACTCGTTACAGGCACCTGAGGACAGCCAATGCTCAGCTTCAAGAAATCTCTAACTTGTTGTCAAGCCGGAATCTGGATCATTTCTCAACCCATACAAATATCTTGAAGAGTTGAATAGGTGAGGAATGCTATATACCATTTTATTTTTCCTGCTGAATCCAAGTTCATTTAAAATACCACGATTACCCATATTACAAACTAATCAAATTACAACAAAGCCAATTTTTGTCAAATTCTTCTAATATGTTAAATATTATTTCTTTGATACTTTTACTGTCTGTAAAGAAATAAAGTGATATGCTACAATTTGTTTCCATCTTTTGCATATACCACTGAGAAGAAAAGCCATTAACTTAAATGCTACTGTATGAGATACACCGGGTAAAGTGAGTTGTGTATCCAATATAAGATTTACTATTCCTATCAAAATCTATTCTCTGTTGGATACTCATTTCATCGAAAACTACACAGCAGAACTTATCTTTTTTATTTAAATGTTTTCCCATTTCTTTAATTAGGAGCCCAGTAAGCAATCTGCGCGCAGACTGACGTCAGACTGTCGACAGTATCTGTCGAATCTGAGCAGGATCTGTCGATAGATCCATAGACATCTGCGTCCCCAATCTGCCGCCAGACTGTTGACAGGGTCTGCGAACAGACTCTGACGACAGACTGGCGGCAGATTGCGCGCAGAGCCTGTCGACAGACTCTGATGGCAGATTGGCGGCAGATTGCGCGCAGATCCTGTCGTTTCGTAGATTCTTCAATTAAATTTTCTCATAATTTTTCATAATTACTCATAGAATAAGCGCTTTCTCATAAATACTCATAAAATACTATGAAAAAAAAGTTCTTCCCTTATAGAAATATCATACTAAGAATCATTGATAATTACTTATT